AATACTGAACCACCCTTGCAACCCCAGGAATAAATCCCATCTGATTGTGGTGAATCCTTTTTTTAATGTATTCTTGGATTTGGTGTGCTGAGGATCTTTGCATCTATGCTAATAAGAGATATTGTCCTGTAGTTCTCTTTCTTTGTGGTGTCGTTACCTGGTTTTGGTATCAGGGTAATGCTGGCTTCATAGAATGACTTTGGAAGTTTCCCTTCGTCTTTTATTATAATAATAATAATAATAATAATAATATTATTATTATTATTATTATTATTATTATTTTGAATAGTTTGAGAAGAATCGGTATTAACTCTTCTTTAAATGTTTGGTAAAATTCACCTGTGAAGCCATCTGGTCCTGAACTTTCGTTTGTTGGGAGTGTTTTGATTATTGATGTGATTTCATTGTTGGTGATCAGTCTGTTCAGATTTCCTATTTTTTCCTGATTCGGTTTTGGGAGATTAACTTACTTTTCCAGGAATTTATCCATCTCTTCTAGGTTGTCCAGTTTGTTGGCATGTAATTTTGCATAATACTCTCTTCTCTGATCCTTTGTATTTCCACGGTGTTGGTTGTTACTGCTCCTCTCTCTCAGTTCTGACTTTGAGTCCTCCTCCTCTCTGTCTCTCGATGAGTCCAGTGAAAGTTTTATCGATTTGTTGATCTTTTCAAGGAACAAGCTCCTGGTTTTAATGATCTGTTCTATTGTTTTTTTAGTTTTTATTTCATTTATTTCTGCTCGAATCTTTATTATTTCCTTCCTTCTGGTGGTTTGGAGTTTTGTTTATTCTTCTTTTTCTAGCTCCTTTAGGTGGAAGGTTAGGTTATTTGAGATTTTTCTTGCTTCCTGCGGTAGGCCTGTAGAGCTCTAAACTTCCCTCTTCCAACAGCTTTTGCTGCATCCCAGTGATCTGGACCGTTGTGTTTTCATTTTCATTGGTCTCCATGTACTTTTTAATTTCCTCTTTGATTTCTTGGTTGACCCATTCAGTCATTGTTTAGTAGCGTGTTATTTAGTCTCTACATATTTGTGTTCTTTCCAGATTTTTTATTTCTGGTTGATTTCCGCTTTCATACTGTTGTAGTCAAAAAAGATTTATGGCATGACTTCAGTCTTCTTTAATTGTTGAGACTTGTCTTGTGGCCTAATATATGGTCTATTCTGGAGGGTGCTCTGCGTGCACTTGAAAAGAATGTGGATGCTGCTGTTTGGGGGTGGATTGTTCTGAATAGATCTGTTGGATCCATCTGGTCCAGTCTGTCATTCAGAGCCACTGATTCCTTGTTGATTTTCTGTGTGGATGATCTTTCCATTGATGTTAGTAGGGTGCTAAAGTCCAGTCAGACCAGATGTCTGCTCCGGGTCCAGGGCTGGGGCCGTAGCTGGACTGCTGTGTGTGGTTATTGTCCCCTCTCCCTGGGCAGGAGTCACTCTGGAGTGATGTCGGCCCCTGTCAGCGCTGCTTGCACACTGCCAGGCTTGTGGTGCTGCTTTGGATGGGTTCTGGCCAGGTGTGTACTGGAGGGGCAGGTCTGCAGGAGAACTCAGGGGCGGGGCGTGCAGTGTTAGCAAGTTTTGTGCAGGTCAGCTACAGGAGGGGATCAGAGGTGCTCAAAACTCATGCAGAAGCTGGCCAGGTTGGAGGTGGGCATCTGCAGCAGAGTGCAGGCTGGGGCATGCTGTTGGCAGGATAGGGGGAGAGTGTTCCTGCTGCCCTGGTTCCCAGAGGTGTCCATGTATCTAGGGAGGGAAATAGCACCCACGAGGTCTTTTGTTCTTGGAAAAGTCTTCCAAACGTCCCTGCTCCTCCAGCACTTGCTCTGAGATTAGTAAGTCAGTGTTCTTGTAGAACCCAGCATTTTTCAGACCATTGCTTCTATGCTATCTCAGCCTGGCCATTTGTTGTGCTGCCTCGTTAAGGCCAAGAATCCATTTCCTCTCACCTCCAGGCTCTCCCAGAACTGGGATGGCTGATTTTTGAAGTTTCAGGTGTTATGCCCTCTGGTTGTACTGGGTGTAATTCTGCCCCCCTCATTTTCACGCCAGTTCTCTGTTCCTGAGGCGTCCCTCCCTCCTGCAGACAGACCTGAGTCTGTTTGGATCCCAACTGCATCTCCACCCTTCCTGCTTTGATGTGCTCTCTTCTCTGCATTTTGCTGTGGAGAGTCTGCTCGGCCAGTCTTCAGGTCACTTCCTGGGTTATTTACACTGAGGTGGGTGTTATCTAGGTGGATCCTGGGATGAGGGGAGCTTTGGATCCTCCTACTCCACCATCTTCCCCAGAAGTCTGCTGTATCCTTTTTTATAAGTTCCCAGCTTTCTGCCAAAATTCTCAATCTTGTGGGGGTTTTTTTTTGTTTTTTTTAAAGATTTTATTTGTTTATTTGATGGAGAGAGACACAGTGACAGAGGGAACACAAGCAGGGGGAGTGGGAGAGGGAGAAGCAGGCTTCCTGCAGAGCAGGGAGCCTGATGTGGGGCTCGATCCCAGGACCCTGGGATCATGACCCGAGCCAAAGGCAGACGCTCAGCGACTGAGCCACCCAGGCGCCCCTTGTCTTTCCTTCATATAGTATTTTACAGTTTGTTTCACCTAGTGTTCCTTTATATTGCCTTGTCTTTTACCTTTTTAAGTTGTATGGGATGTTTCACTTGAAAATTTACCTGTAAAACGGAGGCCTAGAAATTGGTCTTATATCGTTTTCATTTGTCTTTGAGCACCTTTTCACATTCTTACTGGCCAGCTTTTATAAAGAGACTGGTCAGGGTCCTTTACCTTTTAAAAGTTGAATTATCTCTTGATTATTGATTTGTGGGAATTCATTATGTATTCTTTCACATATTTACACATCATGGATACATTCTATCGGTCTGTGGCTTGTCTTTCATTTTTTTAATGGTGAATGTGAAATGGCAGATGTTTTAATATTGTTGAGGTCCAGTTTATCCTATCTTTTAATTTTTTTGTTCTATATTAGGGATCTTTGCCTCTTTCAAATCCAGATATTCTATTACGTTCCTGTGGGTTTTTTTTTCTAGAAGTTTCATTGTTTTAACTGCTGTGAGGCCTGCAAGCCACTTCAGATTACCTGTATGGTTTGATGTAGGGGTCAACTTTTTTCCCCCCTGTATGCAGATCTGGTTGTTACAGCACCTTCCTTTCCACACTGAATCGCGCAGACATTGGTCAAGTCCACTTCTGAACTCACGTTTTTGTCACACTGAGCAATTTTTCATCCTTAGGACAGTACTACACACCCTTGAGTACTGCAGCTTTATAGTATATGTAGTGTCTAGGAGTGCACAACCTCCAACATCAATCTTCACGAATTTGATTTTTCAAGGCACCTGGGTGGATCAGTCAGTTAAGCGTCTGCCTTCGGCTCAGGTCATGATTCCGGGGTCCTGGGATCGAGTCCCACATCGGGCTCCCTGCTCAGCGGGGAGCCTGCTTCTCCCTCTGCCTCTGTGGCTCCCCATGCTTGTGCTCGCTCTCGTGCTGTCAAATAAATAAAATCTTTAAAAAATTTGATCCTTAGTATTTCCATATACATTTTAGAAGCCTCTTTTTTTAAAAAAAAAATTTTATTTGACAGAGAGAGAGACAGCAAGAGCAGGAACACAAGCAGGGGGAGTGGGAGAGGGAGAAGCAGGCTTCCCACGGAGCAGTGAGCCCGATGTGGGACTCGATCCCAGGACTCTGGGATCACGACCCGAGCCGAAGGCAGACACCCAACTGACCGAGCCACCCAGGCGCCCCTGGAAGCCTCTTTCTACAAAATTTGATTGGGATCGTATTGAGTCTGTTGTTCAACTGCGTGAAATCTGACATATTAGCAATACTAAGTGTTTCTCTGAACATGGCATCTGTTTCATTGTGTCTTTTTAATTTTCTCTCAGCAAACTTTTGTGGGTGTTACACATCTTTTATTAAATGTATCCCTAGGTAAGTGATGTTTTGGAATACGGATGTAAATTGTGTTGTTCTTAAATTTCATTTTCCAGTTGTACATTGCTAGTATATAAACTCTGTATCTTGTATCCTGACATCTTGCTACATTTGCTTGTTCTAGAAATCAGTTTTTATAGTCTTGGGTTTTCTCCAAGCAGTCTTGTCCCCTGCAAATGAGAATGGCTTTTCTTTTTCTTTTCTAGTCTATGGCTCTATTCTTTTTCTTGCCTTGGCTGGGACTTCCCACACAGTGGGGACTAGGAGCAGGGTGAGCTATGGGGGGAAGTGCATTTGGCATTCCATAGCAGCGTAGGTTTGGCTGCAGGTTCCACAGAGGCCCTCACAGATGGAGGAAGCATCCTCCAGCCTTGGCTGCTGTCCTCTCTGTGAAGGAGCATGGAACTTCTCAGCTGCTCTCCCTGCATTGTGGAGAGCATCACACGGGGTTGTTCCTTGCGGTGAAATTGGGGAAAGGGGCAGTGATATCCACGGGGAGCGCGGCCTTGCATTTCTGGGGCTGACTCCATTTGGCTGTGCTCTTTTTACAGTTGCTTTATTAGATCTGCCTGTACTTCAGGCGTTGAAGGCTATTGGTCTGTAATCTCTGTGGCCTCAGTTTTCTGTATCATGGTCATGTTGGTCTCACCAACCATCTCCACTCACTTTCCCATTCTTGTGCTGCTTCTCCCTTTTCGGTGTGGAGAGTGGAGGGCCTGCCCTGCCATGGGCTTCTGGGCTCTGGTCCTTCCATGGAAGCCCTGAGGTGGGGTGTACAGTCCCTCACTGTGCCCACAGGGGTCAGGCCCCACGGGGTCCGCTTTGGCCCACAGACAGCTGGGCCATGGGGTGGCCAGGCTGCGGCTTTGGGGAGACAGGGAGGGCACTGGCTGCTTCTTGGCCCCATGCTGTCACTCTGGTATCAGCCATTAGAAGGCATTCCGTGGCAAGTCCTGAGACTACTCCCTGCTGAGGACAGAGCATCTGTGGGGATCCCTGGGGAGGCCTGCTGTTGGCAGCCACATGTGCCTTCCTCTTCTTGTCTCGTAGATGAACGCCCCTCGAGCAGCAGTGGGGACGCCATGTCTGACCCCAGCGCCCAGCCCTCTAGCCACCGCGGCCATTGCTGGAACCACCCCAGCCCTGCCCATGCCAGGTACTGCCCTTTCCGGCCTACCAGCCCCACCCTGTGCCCGGCCTCTGGGCCAGTACGGAATCCTGTTCCCACCTCCAGGGTCCTGGGGGCCCTGGGCAGCGCAGGTGGGCAGCCAGACCCCCGGCCCCGGGCTGGGCTCGGGTGCAGCAGGAGCGCCTGCACTGCCCGCGCTCTCGCGGCCGCCTGTGGTCAGCGCGCCTGGCCCCAGACTGCGAATCACGTAGCTCTGTCTTACCACTTGGCGGCAGGAACGCGTGGAGCTGACCAGTCGGGAGGAGCCCGGGCGGGCTTGGCCTGAGTCCTGCCCCGCCTGCCCGTGGGTGCCTGGCGAGGGGCCCGGTGTGTGGGCAGCAATGCTTGCTTCCTTTACTGTGCAGACCCTGCTCCCTCTTAGGTTTCCACGGTCTACACATGCCTCCTTTGCACCCTGTACTTGAATCGATGGTTAGAACATTGTAATCACCCTGCAGAAGTCCAGTGCCTTGAATTCCAGCTTTTCTGTTCCCTGATGGAAAGAGATGTTAAAAAAAGAAAAATCACTTGTTGAAAAAACTGTATTTCGTTTTGATAACTGGCTTGTGCATTGATATCTGGCCCATTTTACGTTGCAGAGATACGAATAGTTTATAAATCTGAAGCTAAAGCCTGACTTTAGATTTCTGTTGTACATGAGGTCTCCCTGGGCTTCTCCAGTCCCTGATAGCAGACAGACGGACACCCCCCGCCCCCAGCAGCAGTGCTCTGGGTGCTGCCAGCAAGCCACCCAGGGATGCGTGCTTCCTGGGACAGCGTGTTGCTGGCAGCAGGTCTCTCAGTAAGGAACGTGAGCAGCTGTGTTCGGCTGTGCAGAACCTGCTGGAAAGTGCTAGATGAGCGGACACACCCTCTTGACCCAAAGCTTGTGGGGCACAGGCAGGCCACCCACCCTGCAGAGACCGCATGGCGCCTGCAGCTCTGGGGTTCCGCTGATCCTCCTGCCAGCTATGCTCCCTTTCCCATCATTTCTACGGAGGCCTGTGTGCATGCAGGTTGCCCTGCCTGGGCTGGGAGAACCCCTCTCCTGGAGATTTTGGTGGGACTCCTCCCGGATGGGAGCTGCAGTCCCTGCTCCTCGTGGCCAAGGTGTTTCCCGCGTCCCCTCAGAAGGCAGCTGCCTTTGGCTGCCTAGCTGTGAACTGTATAGTTCTGCTGTTCTGTGGGACCTCACGAGGACTGGCTAAATGATTTTTAGTGTGTCATTCCATCAATTCAGTTAGAATTGAGTTTTCTGGGTGATTAGGCAGTCTTCTGCCAGGGCACGATGATGTAATAAGAGATTTCTGTTCTCTGTAATGTGCCCTTGGTCCCTTGGTGGAGAATTCCACGCACCTGGTTCCTGAGGGTCGTGGGAGCCACCTTCTCCTGCTCTCCCCACCTCCCCGCTGCACCAGAGGTGAGATTTGGGATTCTGGCCTCGTACATGTATGGTCAGTGGCACAGAATCCCCAAGAGATTGTATATATGAAGGAGAAAAATAAACATTTTTGCTTGAAAACAGTGTGGAACAACATCTTTTCCTTACTCTCTGCCCATGTAAAAGCTGAAGCAGCCAGGCTCCCAGGCTGTCCTGAGCTCAGCCTCACACTCAGCTCCTCACCTACTGTGGACACCATGCCCAGGAGGCCGGGGTGGCTGTGAAGAGCCTATGGATTGAATGGTGGGTGCTGTGTCCCCAGCAGGAGCCACAGGTGGATGCTGAGCTGGCTCGGGATGAAAGTGGGGTGTTAGGTGGGACCCCGCATTTTCTGCACATGGTGCTCGCCAGCTGTGGCCTGGGACCTGAGGACCCAGCTCTGCTGCCCCTGGGCCTGTCTGCTCGGCTTCCTGCCACTCTGGACTTGAACTGCATTTAGACATACAGTGGGCTCTACCCCACGGAGGGTGTGACTCTCACGGGCAACTAAAAGGTGCCTCTGACCCCCGTCCACGTTGGCTGACTTGCACAAAGCCAGGCTAGCAGACCTGGGGAGAGGGGAACTCCTTTGTATCTTCTCCTGGATCCGCACTGGGCTTGCAGAGGACATGAAGGTTGGAGCAGGTGCAAGTTTGGGGAGGGCCCTAGCGGCACTTGCTACCTGTCTGCCGCCGACCCACCCTCGATGGTATCGCGCTCAGTGGTCTGTGCTCCTGCCCACACCCTGTACACACTCACGCTGGGGTTGGTGGTGCCTCCCGGCCCAGCCAGCTGAGAGGCCGTCAGGCTTTATGCCCATGCTCTTGGAAGGAGGGGACCCCTTTTCAGAACCAGTGCAGACCTCAGGGCCCCATCTGGTGCCTCATCTAAGCGCTGGCCCTGGGCAGAGCTGAGCCACCTCAGGGCAGCTGCTGCAAACGTGCGGGTGCCGGGGGGCCCTGCCTGGTCCTGGGCAGTGGCCCCGTGCAGAAGCTGGCCCGATGGCAGAGGCTGCCTGGGGTCTGCCTGCACAGTGTGGGGGCCACGCACCACCGGCTCCCCACGAATCGGACTGTGCTGGCAACGCTGTTCCACCTTCCAGGGCCTGTGTGACCGAGCCGGGCCTGTAATGAGCTGTGGCGGTTTTGTTTTCTAGATTCTGAGAGTGAGAAGCCCGACTGAGCCCAGGCAGGCCAGCCCGACCCCGACGCCAGGCCCCGTGTCGTCACACGTGGAGAAGGCGAGTCCACGCCTCGTGTCCAGTTCACGCTGTTTTGTAACCACTTTCTAAGCATTTTTTATTCACAACTGGAAACACAAACGTAATGCAAGAATAAAGAGTATTTTGGGGGAAAAGGGACTTTGGTTTTTCAAGCTCTGTCCTGTCTGGTGGCCTGAGACAGTAGGAAGCGAGTGAGGGGTGCTGGAGCGTGTCCTGGGACCATGCAGCCGACAACGTCTGGGGGCACCCTTGGCCGAGGGTTTCCCGGTGTAGTAGGGAACTTGCGCGATTACGTGGCACTTGACAGTGCACTTGTTAGCCCAGGGTCCTCAGGTTGGGACAGCAGCCGGCACAGGCCGGCCAGGTGATGCTCAGAAGCAGCCAAGGCCGAGGATCGGTTTCAGGCACCCTGCCCATCACACCGGGGCAGCCCTGATCTCTGGTGGCACCAGCCGCGGGGAGGCCAAGCAGCAGCGCCCATCTGCGGTGAGCGCCCTCCACCTGTCCACATTTGGGCCTCGGCGCTCACAGCTCCATTCATTTTGCTGACGTGGGGCTCCCCTGCTGTGTGTCTCTGAAGCTTGACACCCACACTCCGGGCACAGGGCAGCCACCACCGCCTAAGACCTGCGGCTGTGGTGGATGGCAGGGCCGGGCTCCTGGCCCCGGCAGGGCTGTGCCCTCAAGAGAAAGGTGGGAAGCCTGCAAGCAGCCTCGCAGAGACATGCGGTAGAAGAACTGCCGTGTGGCCTGGCCCCGGGGGTGGGGCTCAGCCTGGAGCGCAGCTCAGGGGTCCCGCTCATCAGGAGGAGAAGTTAGAGCTTTGTTGTCATTCATCTTGGATGGCAACTCAGCGCTCCCTTCAGTGGTGAATGGAGGGCAGGGCCAGCAGCACCTGGGGCGTGCCACCGCCAGAGCCCCGGACGCCGCAGAGGACATGCAGTTGTCACAGGTGATCTGCGTTCAACGTGACAAAATGCCAGCCTGAGACGCAACTCCTGTCCAACTAGTTGATAAAAGCAGAGCAGCTCGGGCTTTGCAGGGCACATGCACGTGTGGTCTGGGGACATTCGTGAGGACTGTCCACCCCGACGCTCTCCAGTTCTGCGTGCCACTGCTCACATCGGGCTCACCCTGCCCTAGCGTGTGTCTGGGCCTCAGTCCCTGCTCTGTGATGGACCCGAGCAGGCAAGCGCGCAGCCAGACGGAACAACGTCCTATATTTTCCTCGTGATCTCTTTGTCCCCGTCTGTGGCTGTTCTAGTTTTCTCCTGGAGGTACTAACGCACAGCTTACCTTTTCATCCTTTTAAGCAAGTAATAGTATAAGTACTAACGGTAAATATGATGAGGGCAGAAGGCTGGAGGCCCAAGAGGGGCTCATACATAGTCCCAACAGCACCTGGACAGGGGGCCCAACAGTTCCTTCTGAATCTGAGTAGACAGCACCCAGACTCCTTTCCGTGGGCGATGGATCTGGGCCAGGGAGACTGGGATGGAACACCTGTTCACACCACAGCTCAGGTGAGGGCTTACCCACTTCTCCTGATCGGCATCCTCTACTTCCTGGGACCCCGAGAAGCAGTACCTGCCCTACTCCCACTCTGGGAATATTAGGGTCCTTCCTGCAAAGGGGGACTGTCCTCTAGAAGCAGCTCTCGATTGCCATGTTGCTCAGCACAGGTGGAGTGATAGGCTGGTGATGGCCATGGGCAAGCTGCCACCCCAGGGGGGCCCTGCACACCCAGCAGGTCTCCGGAACCCCCAGGGTAAGCCCCAGCCCCCATCTCAGAGTCTAAGATTCCCTGTGCTGCCTGTGCTGGCCTCCCCTAAGATGTGCCCCTACTTTGGACATGACTGTCTGGGCACCTCTACCCCCCCCCCCACTGCTGCCCACCCTCCCAAGGGCCCCTCATCCTCCTGCTGCTCCAGCACTCCTCTCTGGCCCTCTCACGCCCTCAGGATCTCCCCTGCACTGAGTTCTGTCGCAAGGCTGGTGGGAACCGCTCACCAGACCCCACGAGGGGGTCCTATGTATGTATCTCACTTGTCACACTTGGCTTCAAGCCTCTCAAGGGCGAACTCAAGCGCGTCCCAGAACAGTCCTCAGTGAGCACAGTGGTTGCATGGTGAGCTGTGGCTGAAAGCCAAACCCTCCTCTGGACAGAAGCCTGTGGCTGTGGCTTCTCGTCGCTACCTACAGGATTTCTGGACTGGAACGCGCCTGCCCCGCACCTGGTGCCATCCCAGAGCCACCGGGCCCAGCCCAGGCTCTCCCAGGACAGGGATGGCACCATTGTCCAGGTTCACCCGAGCTCTTCCCACGGGGCCGGGCGCTGAGCTGCAGACTCTGCTTCCAGTTCTCATTCTGCCCTAGAGAGCGCCCCCAGCCCACTCTCCTGCAGTGCCTCCCGTGGTCTGTGTGCATCTGCTCTGGCTTGAAGAGCTTAAGTTCTGAAACGTGCATCTTATTAAAGGGCTGGTTGGTTCTCTATGACCTGGGAAAACCCAGTAAAACAAAAGAAAGCATCCCCCAGGGTTCCAAGCACCCCGGCTATGCCATTCTAGCTCTACGTTTCTAAGTCCTAAACAATTCTGTAGTCTAGCCTGGGAGTCAAACCTTGACTTATTTTGGGGGGGGAAACAATGTGTCTCAGGCTGCCATCCCAGAATGCCAGATGGGGCAGCTTAAACAACTTACATACATTTCCCCCAGTTCTGGAGTCTGGAGTCTAAGATCAGGTATGGGCAGGGCTGGTTTCTCCTGAGTCCTCTTCTCTGGTGTGTATGTGTCTGCCCTCTTACCCTGTGGTCACCTGGCCTCTCTGTGCATGTGGAAGAGTGCATAAGCTCTACTCTCTCCTTCTAATAAGGGCATTAATCCTCTCAGATCAGGGCCCCACCCAAAAGGCTGCACTGGACCTTAATTACCTCCATAAAGGCCCTATCCCTAATGCAGCCATCAACATATGAATATTGGAAACATACACATTCAGCTGGGGACACATGCCTAATTAAATTGTTTTGATATACAATCCATGTGTACAATGTAAACTGTATACTTGTCTCTACTTGCACACACGTATTTTATTTTTTTAAAGATTTTATTTATTCATGAGAGACAGAGAGAGAGGCAGAGGGAGAAGCAGGCTCCCAAGGAGCAGAGAGCCCGACGCGGGACTCGATCCCAGGACCCTGGGATCATGACCTGAGCTGAAGGCAGACGCTTAACCATCTGAGCCACCTAGGCGCCCGCACACACGTATTTTAAAACTAAGTAAATACCAACTTGGTGCACATGTACACGCACACACGCACAGGAGGAAGAGTGGGGGTCAAGACCTAATTCTGGCAGAAAACTGAAAGGAATGATCCACTGCTCCCTTTGCTGGGCCCCACATGAGCCATGGGGAGATGCGGCTGAGCATCCCTCCCCGATCCTAAAGCATCATCATCATGAACAGGAGGACAGTGGTCAGTGGTGAACACACAAGGCCAGCTGTGTAGGGCTGGTCAGCACACCAACACTGAGGACCACAAAGCTCTTGGTTTAGAACTCAAACACACAGAACCACAGAAGAGAGGGAAAGGGGAACAAAGAACAGATGAGTTAAAGATCAATCAAATTACAAGATGAGATGCCTAACTATATCTACAGACACATTTTATAATGGTATGTAAATGGTCTGATCACTTTAATAAAAAGAAACTGTCAGATCGGATTTTAAAAAACAACTACATGTTGTACACAACAAACTTATTTATAAATAAAGGCACATAGCTAAGGTAAAAGGATTGACCAAAATATACCATCTTAACATCAATCAATGGAGTGACTATTAATATCCAACAATGCAAATTTCAGAGCAAAGCTTATTATGAAGACAAAGATGATCATTTCATAATAAAAAGGGGTCAACTCATCAAGAAAACACACAATTCAAAATGTTTTGCTCCCAATAACAGAGTTTCAAAATATATGAGGAAAACACAACTGCAAGGAGAAATGGACAAATCCCCAATCACAGTCTGATATTTCAATGTCCCTCTCTCAACTGATAGAATAAAAAACCACCATAATAAAGTCTGACCCCATTTGACATATGACTGCTGACAACTTCTAAGCCCTATCCTCCCTCTTCCCCTTCTGGGCATATCTGGACAGCAGATGAGAAGCGCAGGTGCTCCCTCCCTTGGCACCATGGGAAATTCGCACCAGTAGTGGAAGCCCTCATTCCGGCCCTACCCCCTAACCACCGTCAAAATCCCAAGCCAGACTTCCAAGGAAGATGACACAGCAAGAGGATCCTGGGTTCACCTCATGCCAGGATACACCTAGATAACACCCACGTTGAGTGTAAATAACCATGAAAATTACCTGAAGACCATCATAGCTAAATGCAGAGAAGAGGCCACAATGAAGGGGGTAGGAAGGGCAGAGATGTGGTCGGGAGTCAGAAGGACCCACGGAACTGTCCACAGGATGGAGGGATGCCTTCGGAGGGGAGAGGAGCAGATCCTACAGCAGGCACCCCAGGCTTGGGGGACCCACAAGAGGAAGATGAATCCCCATAACACTGGCTTAGAAAACCAGAGGAGAGTAACTTCATGAGTTCTTACAATCCATGGGGCTTAACACCTGGAAATTAAAAAATTAGTGAGATCAGCTCTGGCAGAGCCAGAGGGCACCATGTGCACTATCCCTGCATTCTCCTGCGGACCTGCCCCTCCAGTACACACCTGGCCAGAACCCATCCAAAGCAGCACCACAAGCCTGGCAGTGTGCAAGCAGCGCTGACAGGGGCCGACATCACTCCAGAGTGACTCCTGCCCAGGGAGAGGGGACAATAACCACACACAGCAGTCCAGCTACGGCCCCAGCCCTGGACCCGGAGCAGACATCTGGTCTGACTGGACTTTAGCACCCTACTAACATCAATGGAAAGATCATCCACACAGAAAATCAACAAGGAATCAGTGGCTCTGAATGACAGACTGGACCAGATGGATCCAACAGATCTATTCAGAACAATCCACCCCCAAACAGCAGCATCCACATTCTTTTCAAGTGCAC